CTGGGATTTTGGAGGGACACGGATAATACAGTGAGTTATTACAAATACCTTGGTTTATTGATCTCTAGTAGAAATTCATGGTCAATGGCTGTTAAATACATTAGCCAGACAAGCCCAAAAAGCGATGGGGCAATTTTTCGCATGATACATAATACTGGGAGTCTTCTATATAATGATTATTTTAAATTATTTGATGGTATGATTTTACCAATTTTGAGTTATGGGTCAGAGATCTGGGGACATAATAGGTATCAGGTAGCAGAAAGAGTCCAGTTAAAATATTGCAAAGCTTTTTAGTTGTTTCGTCATCCACATCCAACGTTGCAGTGCTCGGAGAGTGTGGTAGATACCCAATATATAAGTATACAGTCAAAAAGTGTATGAATTACTGGCTAAGACTGTGCACCCGAGTAGAGTTGCTAAGCAAGCTTATAAAATTGCGCTCAATCTTGATGAAAATGACAGAACGTCATGAGCAACAAACATAAAATCTATTTTTTTTGTAAGTTTGGTTTTGGTGAAGTGTGGTTTTGGCAGGGTCCTGGTGACCCTGAAGCCTTTCTCTGTCAATTCATGTCAAGGGCAAATGATATTTTTAGACAAAATTGGAGAGCGGAGGTGTGTAAAAAGACAAACTACGTACATATTGTAATTTCAAAGTGCTATTCCAGAGGGAAGATTATTTATTATTTATTAGTAATGTTAAATTGAGAAAAACATTATCATGCTTTAGATGTTCCAGTTTGTGACATGATGGAAGTAGAGGACGAATATAATTTCATTATGATACGAGATGCTTAGAAAGCGACTCATTCCCATTCGGTCTTATACAAATCCATCTGTAAATAAGTTTTATTCTTTAATGTCATGTAATTCATTTGAAATTATTAGTAACTTAGCTGTTTCTATACAAAATGCATTTAAGTTGAGACAAGATGTACTTGACTTTTGACCAAAGATTTGTTGTGTCAGTATTGTAATAAGCAAAAGGGGCCAGTGGCCTATAAGAGCAAATAAATACAAACTGTGTATATTTGCATATATGGACTGATTACGACCACCATGTGACCGGGCGATCAATTAACAGGTCGTTGTCCTTGGTTGCATTGATTAGTCGGTGTCCAGCCACATGTATTACCATTAAAACCTTCACAATAAATGACATATGATATGTTATAATTACAGCTATACATCAGACTGGTGAATGTATAGGTACAAAAGCAATAATCGGGTGTATTTACCAATGTATTTAACAATTCGTGCATACTGATAACCGAAGTTAGTTATGTGCAGCGACGAGAAACGAATCAAACTGACCTGTTCCATAAGAATCAGTTCATAAGGTAGCAGTGTAATATGTTATATCATCAATGTCTGCGATTTAAAAAAATGTATTTTCAAAGGTCCTTTACATATCACAATGTAACGTATAAACAGAGTTAACACATGCCGGCGTTGTGGACTAAATAAAATGCAGTATTGTCTATAGAATTGTCATTAGAATCGTGCCGTGTAAATTAATAACCATTCTTGTGTTAGATTCTGACAAGTATTTATTTATTATTTAAGTATTTATTTAAATCAGCGTTTTCGTTATTAATTCTCCCTGTATTTACAGTGGCACCTGCGACAAACTCATGGAAAGTGGAAAATTTGAGAGATGACCACTAGTGGGCAATGCCATCAGTATCAATTACTTTGCTCTCACTGAATGGCTCGAATGAACTATGATAGCTTTGCTGGCTAATTTCATTGGAAGTATAAATTATGTTAATTAGTTGGATGGTGTGGTGGACAATGCTATAATTTGACATATTAAAAGTAACAGACACACTCAGAGAGGTAAGTGTTTTTCAGTTAAAAATTACTTTTGTGTATAAGACTATCCCTTTTAATACATTGGGGTGATATGTGCGAGAACTATGTGCAAATCACTGCATATACGCTCTATAGTATTGCGCACGTGTCCTCCCTATTTCAACACCCACGTTTACACTGCCACCCCTCTTTAACCATTTAATGAAACATTCCAAGGTCTATAAGATATGCAAGTTGTTCTGCCACAACATTTTTGTCGGTCAAAATGGGAAAAGCATTTCTTTTGAGCTTATTACTTTTGATTTTAATTATTACACTTTGTAATGGACTCTCGACTTGTAGGCGTAGACGATTTCCTAATTCGGACTGGGGTGGATGGGCCTCATGGAGTTCATGTTCAAAAACATGCGGTGCAGAAGGTACAATGCAGAGATTTCGCGACAAAAATGTTTCTCCTAGAATATGTGATCGAGATGTGGAAACAGTCGGATGTAATCGTTTTTGCAACCATGGCGGGACGATAATCGATAATGAGTGTTACTGCCCCGGACTGTATGGTTCGAATTGCTGTAATACAGGTACGTTACTATCTTGTTATGACGAGTTGGAAGTGTGTTCTATACTTGTTTTAAGGCATATGCGCCCTGTTTCCCTTATAAATCATTTAATGTGATCAATAAAAAAAATAAAGAAAAAAATATCAAAATTCGTATAACTCAAACTGGAGAAATTTAAAAAACAAATCTTTTACTTCCTCATCGGATCGTGAAAACTAATGTTCAACAAAAACCTATTGAGGTGATTCGATTATTCGCAAAAACTAGTGAACAATGCTATTAGAGTTGCCTAGTGAAGAAGAAAAAACCATGAAAGCATTATATCAGGCTGACACAACTTGACGCGTATTTTGCTATATATATATATATATAGCAGAAAATGGGGACTTATGTGTTGACCCCTGCGCGTCCGTGCGTGCGTGCGTGTGTGCGTGTGTGTGTGAGTGCGTCTGGACCTGTATTTTTAAAATGCCTGGACCAATCATAATCAAACTTCACACATACATCATGCATGATATTATACATATGCACATCAATTTGTTTCACGATCTGATTCAATATGGCCGAATGGCGGCAATTTTTGTGCTAAAAAATCTTCAAAATCAAGCATTTCCCGGCTGTTTACAGATGGATTTTGTTCAAGACCGGCATTGTTCACGTACAGACAGAGATTTCCTTTATGCCAATTACATTAATACTTTGTTGAACCTTTTCTGTTGTGTCGGACACGTGATATGAAGATACATACTTAATCGCCGAGGACTATTTGTCAAGGTTATTTCCGCGTCTGAAGAGCTCTGTACATTATTAATCCATACCTACACTATTTTGAGTGTTTTTTCTGAAAATATTTTTTTCACCGTATTTGTTCTGCGATAATATACAAATGTGCGTAAAATAGTTAACCAGACTGATTGGAAATCATATTTTATATATCACGTGACCCAAAATAATGGTGTTGGCTCATTTTGACAAATGCGCTAGTAATAACGCGAAAATGGTATTGTGTAAAGCAGTCGATAAACAAACACAGGTTGTGCCATTTTCTGTACTTAGCTAATTACGAGACATATTATTAGTTCAAGTGTTGTCGTGTTAACTTATCTTTATGTTAACTTGGCGGTGAGATGAGAGCACATATTCAGGTAACCCAATAGTTTATATTATTCTGTACGTCACAAATAAATAGGACATTCTATCTTACCAAACAGCTAATTTATATATTGTGACATTAATCTGTGTTTCCAGTCTGTCCAGCTATCGACAACTGTGAAGACGTTCAGTGCACGACAACCCAAAACCAGTACTGCTTGAAATGTGAATATGATCGTGGCAAGGGAAGGAGAGCCTACGAACCAGTGGAGGTTAATGGAATCATGAACAGGATTTGTGAAAGTAAGGGACATTTAAACACTTCTCGTGATATATGTGTAGGTCTAACCATGGTACCTCCATGGTCTAACTAACAACGGACCACGGTATAAGTATTTGATGTTGAGGGCGCTCGTAAATTTTGTTAGGGTTCGACAATAATGGTGGCGCTGTGAGTCCTAATCTCGAACCCGACATCACACATTTCAACTACGCCATGGAAGTATATAGGGATTTAACCTGCTAAGGAAAAAGCGCGATGTAACCCGCGAATGAAAAACAACCTTCTTTTCGTCTAAAATTTGCCAGGAAAGTTGTGATCTGAAATTAAAGTGATTTTGGCAAGAATATCATCATTAACATTCCGTCGTGTAGTTGTTTGTTGTACGATACCGGGATACCACACGGTCGAGAATAACTACATCCATGCTAATTCTGCCTGCTCCATTTTCTTTTACATTGACTTGATCAGATAAGAGTTGAACTAATCTAATCTATACACTCTCCCAAATCCAGAACGGTGTTCATGGCGACCAGACAGTAAATTCTGTTACCCTGGAAATTGTACGGGAAATCCATCAACGACGTGTGAGTGTGCTAATGGTTTTACTGGAGATAACTGTCAAGAAAGTACGTTATTTTTACCAACTCGTCATATCTATAAGTTAGTTCTGTTGTTACATGGTATAGCTACAAATCCCGTCCTTGTGAACTCAAGCTTTCGCCCATATTTGATTGTTTTTTCGTGAAATCATATATTATATTTACCCGGCTCATGTAATGCATAATATACATCATATATTTACCTTATTCTTGTTCTGGCTTAGGAAATTATCTTGTTGAACTGCAGTCGCCTTTTTAGCTCCGCTGTCGACGAAGTCGAGCGAAGCTTATAGTATTACTGTGTGCCCGTCGCCGTCGCCGTCGCCGTCGCCGTCGTCGCCGTCGTCATCTTTACATTTTCGACTTATTCTTAAAAACCACAAACTGTATAGCTGTGAAACTTTCTAGGAAGGTACCTTGGGTGGTTCTTTCTCAGATTTGTTTATTTCTTGTGGATATGTTCAATTGTCTTATTTATAGCAAATATTTTTGTCATTTTTTGTAAAAAGTGATATTTTCGACTATTTGTTAAAAACCGCAAGTCCAATTGCTTAGATTTTACATATGTGAGTACTACATGTGGACTTCTCTCAGATTTCTTAATTTCGTGATGATGTCTTTAATTCTCTTATTTTGATGAATATTTTTGTCATTTTTGGTAAAAGGTGATATCTTCGACTTCTTGTTAAAAACTGCAAGTCCAATTGCTTAGATATTATATATACTACATAGGTACTACAGGTAAACCTGTCTCGAATTTGTTCATTTCGTGATGATTTTGTTCTTCAACTATCTAATTTTAATGAATATTTTAGATAAAAAGTTATATTTTCGAATTTTCGTTGAAAACAGCAAGTCCGATTGTTTTGATACTATACATACTATACATATTGTTCATTTTCTGATGATGCCTGATGATGATGATGCATTGCTAACAGCGGAGCTATCTCAGCCGATAGGCTGCTAGTCTATAATAAACCCGCATAATTTGGCACGTAGGTATCCTGAAACAAGTGTGTGAGGTGAAGTTGTTATATAACGGAATGTCCTCTCGTGAGATCATCCTGTGAACGAGAAAATGTCATACCTTATAATAGAGAATTCTAATTAGTCATTTTAACAAAATATGGGCACTGCGTCAGCTACGTCATGGGAAGACTTCGCCGGTAGGGCGAACAATATGACAACGGTTTATTGATTAAATAGT